TCTCGCACCACTGCTGTGGTGCCAACCTACCCCGTGGGCTGGGGAGAGATCCGGGTTGGTTGGTGTTCCCCCGTACTGCATATACACTAGTGAGAGGATGAGATAGATGAGTACTTGCAAAGAAAAATGAGATAGATGAGAGAAGAATATAGCTTTATAAAAAATAAAAAATAAAAAATCCTCCCTCCTCTTTCACAGAACTGCCTCCCTCCCTTTTTTCTTTTTGAACATATGACTCATCGTCAATTCACTGTGCAGTGTGTACACAGAGAACCTAAGCGCACTACTACATCAAGTTATCAACACTTCAGAAAGACCACCTCCACCCTCCTTTGGAGAGAAGCTAATGGCTCCAGCCCAATGAGCCCATCAGGGACGATCTGCCACCGGAACGAACGACAAAGGGTTGCATGGGAAAGAAGGGAGGAAGCACTGACCCTTGGGCCTTTGCTCATCTACCCTACGGTAGGCTTCCCTTTGGTTATGGGAAGATGTGCGATTGGACAATTTGGACCGGCTGACCTACAAGCGGGTCTTCTTTTTTTTGTTTTTGTTTTTTTTTAATCATCTGCAGTGGGTCTTAAGGGTGGTCATAGAACTTTTGCATTTCGCTCATTTGTTTTGTATGCTCTCCATGCGGTGACAGTTTTCTGATTACTGTTGTTTTTTCAATGTTTTTTGTTTTTTAACTACGCTATATTCTTCTCTCAATTTCACCTTTCACCATCTACCTACCACTACTCCTAAGCCTATACAGGGGACCTCTGCAAGCATCGCTACCTCTCACAATTAAGAGGATGCATGTTGGCCCGCGCCCTAATCGGCGGCAGTCAGGGAGTAGGGTGGTGCCACTGGTGGTGGTGGTGGTGGGGGGGTAACACAAAGACTTAGCACTTTGCCAGTAGCTGCGCCTCCCATCTACTTCCCCCACCCCCCATCGAGTAGCAGCAGGGGCTATGGCCAACACCCTCCCACACACCACACGCAACCCACTCACGCTCACACTCACACCCGTGTTGGTCAGAGACCCTACTAATACTGATCAGGGGTATTATGCGGACTATCACAGCTGGTCGGCACTGTGCGCCACAGGCTGTGATTCCCACACAATGGAACTCCGCCACATCGTAAGATGTGTGTAGCAGCTACTCTCCCATCACACCTTGCACATGTTGTCGAACATCTCTGTGCAGTTATTTATTTTCATTACTTCTTACTAGTTCTTAGTTTTGCCTGTTTTGCCTGTTTTGCCTGTCTCTTCATTCAGCACTATCACCAAAATTGATTCCCGACTTCCCGTGCTGGACTCATTGTGGATTCCAGAGTTAGGACATACTCACATTACCATTTTTCTAAAGGTATCTGCCCGCAAATTACAGCCAAACCTGGATGCATATCACTGCAATTACGCCCAGAGAGCTGAGTCGAAAACGTCCTCGTGTGAATACGCCCTGACAACTGCATAGTGGTTACTCGAGCGTCACTAATGGTTAATAGGTGGCGTCATTTTCAGCGAAATTTTCACAAAAACTGCCACAATTCCCTGAAGTTTCGCTTTTTTTTTTTTTTTTTTTTTTTTT